TATAACCTACCCGCTGTCAGTCTATGAATTTGGTTGATTGATGAAATTTTGTGTGATCATTTTTGGAAATACCCTACTTTAAAGTTTGGTATGGCTTTAACTACCTCTCATATTCACAGACCTGGAACGCTAAAACAACAAAATAAACCTCATAAACATTGGCATAGGAGTAAAGGTTCTCTTGAAAAGTTGAAGAAAGGTATGAGCCAACTTTATCTTAGTTATTTTTTTTTATTAGTTATGTTTTACTTATTTAAGAAAAATTTTATTGAAGGAAAGACAACATCTATACCGGCTATCGCTAGACATAACAGACATGAACTGAAAAGAGAAGAAAGAAGGAATCAATCTCAACAAAACAGACAAAAAAAACGGTTTGAATATTTGCAAAAAAGGAGAGGTTTTTGTGAAGCACCCTTTCTTGTTGCAATCCTTCCCTTACACCAAGATGTCAATGTTGATGATGTAATAACTTTATTAAAATCTGCTGATCCTGATGCCGTTGTTACCTATACTCCTGAAGAGCATGTTCAAATCAAGTAAGTTTATATTTTGTTTTAAATAAGACTCATAAGATTTACTATTGTTAGGTCACAATTGTTCATGGAGTGCCAAATGCATTCAGTTATATTTGAAAGAGTATAAAGACGATCAATTTCATTAGTTAGCTTCTAATAATTTTCCTGCCATCAAGGTAATTGTTTACCCTTAACCATGTACAGTTAGATAAAAATTTCATTTGAATAACTTCTTGTATTTCTTCTGCATAAGGGTTTACTCTTATGTTGTCAGGGGTGCTTTTTATGAAATTACTGTCTGATTTGAGATCATGCACTGCTTTTATTTACCTAGTTGGAATTATTCGATATAAGGATCCATTCTTATGTTGTCAGGGACACTTTTTATGAAAATACTGTCAGATTTAAGATTGCGCATCAAGTTTTTTAACCTTGTATTTCTTTGATAGAAGAGTCCACTAATATGTTGTTGCGGGTATTTTTTATGAAAATATTGTCACATTTGAGATTGTGCAATTGCACACCAAGTTTTTGTGATTTTTTGATTTCTTCGATATAAGGATCCACTAATATTTAGTCGGGGAAGCTTTTTCTGAAAATACTGTTCCATTTGAGATTGTGCAATTTCGCATAAAATATTTGTAACTTTTTGGATTTCTTAGATACATGTGGGAAATCAGAGTGAGAATGAAATTTGCTGGAAAATGTTTCATTCACTCAAATCTGTTTTCCTAGTTTCTAAAAAGGTTAAAAAGTGTTATATAAAAGAACATTCAAATCCTTACTGACCTACGCCAGTGAGTCGTGGACTCTGAAATCCAAGAAAAAGGAGCCAAATACAAGCAATGGAGATGAGGTAGCTGAGGTGGATAGAAGGAAAACCAAAAAGGTATTTTCAGAAAAAGCACCCCCGACTAAATAAAAAAAGGCTGGATAGACGGGAAAATCAGAGTGAGAATGAAATTTGCCGGAAAATGTTCCATTCACTCAAATCTGGTTTCCTAGTTTCTAAAAAGGTTAAAAAGTGGTATATAAGAGAACATTCAAATCCTTACTGACCTACGCCAGTGAGTTGTGGACTCTGAAGTCCAAGAAATAGGAGCCAAATACAAGCAATGGAGATGAGTTAGCTAAGGTGGATAGAAGGAAAAACAAAAAGATATTTTCAGAAAAAGCATCCCCGACTAAATACTAGTGGACCCTTATATCAGAGAAATCAGAAGAGTGACAAAAACTTGATGTGCAATTGTTCTATCTCAAATCTGACAATATTTTCATAAAAAGTGCTCCTGATAACATATTAGTGGACCCTTCTATCAAATAAATCCAAAGTGTATCAAAAAATCAATGTACTATCTCAAATATGACAATATTTTCATAAAAAGTGCCCCAGTCAATATAATAATTGGACCTTTATATTTAAGAAATTCAAACAGTTAAATATTTTTGATGCGCAATCTTAACTCCAATGGTATTTTTATAAAAAGCGTCCCTGACAACATAATAGTAGACCCATAATAGTAGAAGAAATCCAATAAATTTCAAAAACTCGATGCTTAAAATTTTTATTTCTAAAAACATTTTTTTTTAAACATTCTTTAGAGTACCACTAAAATTTCAATTTATATATTTTATTTATTTTTCTTCCAGAGCATTTACTGTTATAAAAAAGTTAATAATAAACAAATTTGTTAATAAGTAATTTTAGTAAATAACTTGTTAATAAGGAAGTTCTATGATGTGAATATGCATGTTTTTTAAATTATATGAGTGAAAATGAAATGGGTGGTTGGGACAAGAGCTGACTTCATAACAGTCGACTGTTTTTTGGCATTTCATGAACAAGTGTGACCGAAGTGATTGTGAACCATGCCTAAGGTATGGATGATAGGTACTACTTCACTTGTGTTCCGCATGACTGAATAGGCATGATTCCCTTATGTCACACTTGTTCATGGAATGCCAAAAGTATCTGGGTTTATCCTGAAGAGTACAGATACAACCAATCTCTTGATTTAGCTACAAATAACTTATCAGCTATTTAAGTAACTAGTAGGCCTATGCGAAAAATTCGTACAGCATATTGTTATCAAATGCCAGATCAATAAGAAAATAAAATAATGCAATGTATCAAAAAATAAAGAAATCAGATGTTACTTTATCGATAAATATAATTATATAATTACCCCACTTTTTGTGATTTTCGAAAGAAGATCGAAGGGGGGAGGCTTGGTTCCGATTTGGTGCAAACAAATTTTTTTTTTATTTCTATGAAAATTCGTATTTGAGGCTTTATAGAGATACGAAACACAAATCTCAACTCTGTTTTCCCTTAAAAAAATATTTGAACCCACTTTACTCCTTCGGTCAGTACAAATTGTTTCAACGTCGTATTGATACTATAGCTATGTGCCAAATAAATAGTTATTTTCAAATGAAATGGGCTATAATAGAACTTTCCTAATGAATATTAATCAAAAATAAGAAAAAATAAATAATAAAATGAAAAAAAAATATTGGAAAAATTTCTAATCGATTTTGATGATTTGTTTTTTTTCCTTTTGTAGGGAATATAGTAATCTTTTATATAATCATGGGTATGACCAAGGGAAAAATGTATAATTTTTTAGTTATTCGCAAATAAAGTTTGTCTTCTTTCTTAACTTGTTTGCCTGAATTTTCGGGGTGATTGGACTATTTTGCCCGCCTGAAGGAGAAGGAAGCCTTCGAAATTGGTGGCTCAATCTTGAGATTTGGTGAAAAATTTACGATGATATGGCTTGCCGATCAAAAACACCATCGATAATTAATATAAACTCCTCTCTCGATCATAGAGACATCAATTCGACGAAATGAGACATGTATTCAATTAATGTAAGGTTTTTTGGATGCGACCTCTATGCCTTGCGTTATCTCGAAAATTGTACGTTTTTGGGTTTAAAAACGCAGGATCCGATAGTTTCGTAGGAACTATCCGGGTCTTGCTCTACGCATCAAAATCTTCAAGATCCAATTTGTCCCGTATCGATCTACAAACCTACCACCGTTCAGGTATTGAAGCCTAGCAAAATGTTTGTATCGACTTTATTTATTTTAGAAAGAAAAACAAAAATGGAGAATACGATTCGCTAACCCTCCGTGAAATTCTGAATCCAACTCTGTCTAGGTGGGACAACACCTGTGCTGGGCTATGCAGATGATCTGGTACTGTTAAGTGAAGACGTGGAAATTTTAAAACTAAATACGACAACATTAATGAATGCCAGTAAAGAACTAGGGCTTGAAATAAACACGGATAAGACAAAATATATGGTTAGCTGCAAAAATGGCGATATTACTGGTGATATCGATATAGATGGTAATATGTTTGAACAGGTAGATAAATTTAGGTATCTAGGTTCTACGATAACTAGAAAAAACGAAATTGAAGAAGAGATTAAGGTTAGACTGAAGGCGGGGAATGCTTGTTATTTTTCTGTGACAAAAGTACATAGCCCGTGCCTCTTGTCCCGGAACTTAAAAATTAGAATCTATAAAACCATTGTCTTACCTACAGTTCTTTATGGTTGCGAAACTTGGCCACTTAAATTAAGGGATGAGCAACGTCTTAAGGTTTTTGAAAATAAAGTATTGCCTAGAATATTCGGACCGAAGAAGGATGAATTAACTGGAAAGTTCAGACGGTTACCCAACGCCGAATTGCGTGAACTGTATCCGGGTAATATAATTGAGGTGATTTCATCCCGGCGAATCGAATGGGCTTGTAAAATTGTTGGGCTTAGTAACGAGAGAATTCCTAAAAGGTTAATATTTGCTGTTCTGAATGGTAAACGTCCAAGGGGTAGACCAAAGTGAAGGTGTGAGGATTGCAAAGCTGATCTGAACGGACTGGGTTTGGACGGCGAATGATGGAGGGAGGTGTGTAATAAGCGATTGGTGGTTTCGGCATCAAACCTTCGGGTTCGCTAAGCCTTTTATTATTATTATTGTATGCCCTTAATGGAGCTTAAATTATTATGTCACTGAATGCTGTTAGTATTTCACTATATGTATCTTTTCTTATTGATAATTTCCATGATTCAGTGTTACGTCATTCCAGTTATTTTTTATTAAATACAAATTATAATCAAAATATGCTTTTCTTTTTATATTTCTATTAAATATTATTCTATATAAAATTTTCTTTTATTTTATTAAAATTTCATGAAGAAAAATGAATACCTAATTCATTTAGCTTTGTGAAATTTTCTAATTTTGTCTTCTAAACAAAATTCTTGTTGATTGTTCACATAATAATGTACAAATTAATGAGATTTTCAAATGTGATTAATTTATTTTTTCTATATATTTTTTAATAACTTAATTTTAGTGGTAGATATGACCAAAAGAATAATTTTTTAATAAAAATACATTTTATTAGTATTTTAAATTGCTATTTTTCTTTACAGGAGTCCTAGAATAAAACAAAAATTTACATTTACTATGTTATCGGGTGACAATTTGTTCGACCAACTTGATGTAGCTAAAGTATGCACCACTATTTTACTTCTTACTTCTGTGAAAGGAATTTCATCAGATGCCAGTGTAGTTTTGGATGCAATCCTTGCTCAAGGTATACCTACTACTGTGGTAGCAATAACTGATTTGGAAGCATTACCTCAAAAAGTATGTATAGAATCTATTTCAAGTTGTATACAACCATTATTTGTAATTTAAAATTGAATTTACTTTAAAATAATGATTATATTGAACCTTTTAGTCCATCAGAATATATTTCTTATTAGAAATAATTTTATGCATTACTAACTGTGCCCCAGAGTTTCACATTAAATTTGTTTTATGAAACAAACAACATATCATCCCCTTAATCCTCCTCCTTCCAAACATTCCTAATCCCTCATGGGACTGGACTTAACTCATGGAGGTTTATTTCCTCTTTATATTTTAACCTATACTATTTGATGTCATTCCAAATTTCCCTTACGGGTTCAAACAGCATCATTCGACTATTCAGCAATGTTACCGCCTTGTAGATTACATATCTTTCTCGCTAGAATCAAAATTGTACTGTCCTGGCATTTTTCTTGACGTGAGTCTGGCTTTTGATAGAATATGGCACGATGGTTTGTTACATAAATTAAAAACGATTATTCCTCTGACGTATTACTTAATTTTACTATCATATCTAAAAGACAGATTTTTCCTTGTGAAAATGGGGACTGAGTTTTCTGCCATCAAACAAATAAAAGCTGGAGTACCTCAAGGCAGCGTCTTGGGTCCAACACTCGTCAACATTTACTGTTCAGACATCCCACAACATTCTGAAACACTGTTGGCTACATTTGCTGATGACTCGGCAATATTAGCATCTAACAAGGATGCAGGTAAGGCTTCTCAGATACTTCAAGAACACCTAGACAACATAGCTTGTTGGGCTAAAAGGTGGAGAATAAAAATGAACGAGTCTAAGAGCCAATTTGTTTCATTTACACTTAAACATGACTCTTGTCCTCCAGTGTTCTTTAATAATATCACTCTAGAACCTTCAAAAACTGTACGATATTTGGGTCTCTACTTGGACAAACAACTGAAATGGACATACTGCATAAAACAAAAAAGAAAAGAACTTAATCAGCGATACAGACTTCTTTCTAGGCTACTTGACAGACGTTCTAAATTATCTGTGACTAATAAATTAACTATTTACAAAGTCCTCATTAAACCACTTTGGACATATGGAATCGAACTATGGGGAACAGCAAAGAAATCAAATATAAAAATCATCCAGTCATTCCAGTCAAAAGTCCTTCGGAAAATTGTAGACACACCCTTTTATGTTTCAAACCTCACATTACACACTGACCTTAACACTCCTTTCATCACGGCAACTGTCACTGACCGCTTTAATAATTTTCATAACAGACTGACTCTAAATTCCAATTCACTTACTCAAGCTCTATCTACTGCCACAAATCCATATAATCCGCCCAGAAGACTGCTGAGGCGCTGGCCAAGAGACTTATGGCATTGAGCTACTTGCTGCATTATCTTTTCTTTTTTTTTTTTTTTTTTTTTGTTCTGTTAATATGTATGTGTTATTTTGCTACTGTTCTTTTTTTTTTGTTCGTTTTTTTTTTTAATCTTTTTGTTTTGTTATTACTATATTTTTTTTTCTTATGCTATCATTTCTTGTCCTTGATATCATATTTGCTGAATACCGATGTAGATGGCAAATTTATTGTGAGCCAGAAATATGTATAACTAATAAATAAAAAATACCTTAGACCTAGAGACATACCTTAGAAAAACAGAGTTATGGATGGAAATGATGTTCTCTAAACGTTCAAAGCATTTATGATAAGGATTAAAAAATCAACCAAAAAAATTAGAAGAAAGGTTGGAAAAGGAAATGCCAAGTGTAACTAATAATATAGACTTGATAGGAAGAAAGATGGAGGGAATACGATCCGACTTAAGCAGAATGAAGACATGCTGAATAATCTGGAACTTGACTTCTGTCAATAAAAACTGACTATGTCAATTGAGCAGAATAGTACAGATAAAATAGGAAAAAAAATGATAATCTAAGAAGACATTTAAACAAACAAAATGAAGAGATAAAGAGGATATGATAAAGTTAAATGTAACTAGCAATAAGTACCCATGAGAAAAGGATAGGGGCTTTAGGCAATTGGATCAACATCCTAGAGAATAACACACCTGCAGATATTGTGAATGTGGAGATAAGGACTCCTAACATACAACAAACTGATGATAGCAGCCTGCCAGCCATTAATACTGGTTACGATAGTGTCATAGACATGTTTGAGGGGTTGAACACGACTACGATTCAGCAAAAGAAGTGTGAGAATCAGAAAACTTTATTATTTATGAATTGTAAGAGAGACATTCCTACAGAGGTTTTTTTATAAAATATTAGACCAAAGGTCACCAAATGTACCCAGTTTTTACATCGTGCATTATTTATTCGACGGTTCAGCTTCAGATTATACCTCGATGTAAGCGACATCAGGTGACAAAATTTAACAACGACATTTAACTCACAAAATTTAAAGTAACTATTTATTCTATACGTAATTACCTCTTCCCATTGGAAAATATCCCTATAGTTTAATAATTAACAAAGAAGACACTGCTGTCCTGAACTAATCCATTATTGTATTTGCTCAAGAACTATTTCTTTGGAGCATTACAGTCTTGGTTTGTACTTCTCTCATCAAGAGTATAGAAAAACTGAGAATATCTTACCCCTGATCTGAGAAGTCTTACCCAATTTTTTTTTTATTTTTAAATAAATCATACAGTTTTTTTTTTCTATATTATCTGGAGTTATCAAGGGATCATATAGCTTATTCTCCTTCATCTACCTTTTCAATAGATTTTTAGTTTTTCAAAGACGAACATAAAAAGCAATATATTCATTTATAAAATCTAAACATCTGATAAGTGTCCTATTGCTATCTTAGCACCTAAGATGCATTTGACGAAAATTGAAATTTATCTTAAAAATGGAACATTGTAGGCTTTAAAATGCAGAGCCCGATGTCGTTTGGAACTATACCAACCGGATCTTGATGGTCATGTTCAATTCTATAAAACACAATTTATCCTGTCTTGAATCATTTTAATTGAAATTTCCAAATTACTTTTATTAAAGGATGAAGAAATTTAAGGATTAAAATTGGTATTCTCTGATTGTCCGTGAAATTGCTTTTTGTTTGATCCTAAATTTTTCAAAGTTGTTCGCTCATGAGAGCCGGAAAGAGGATCTATAATACCTTATAGTGTATTGTGGATTGATGGTTGACTGTAATGAATAATTGAAGAGAAGATTGTTTGGGGTGATCAGTAAAAATAAATAAATTATATTTATTTTTATTTTTGCTGACGTTTTGGCCGAAAGACGTTCAGGCTTTTATCAGGAATATGAAATATTTTTTTCTTCTTATTGAGGTATTTTACTTGGGGAGCGACAAAACTGATTAGCCCCTATGTAAAAGATTGGCCCTTTCATTTCTACTTCTCACTTGGATTCAAGGAGAGTTACAAATCAGTCTAGATCTATGGGGTATGGCTATTCAGAATCAAAGTGAGAGCAGGCACATGTGAACCTAATATCTGAAGGCTACTGACATCCTGGAAAACCACATTGCAATTTCTGATTAGAGTATGCAGAGTAGGGTCATCACTCTTACGCCTGGTCGGTATGAGTTGCATTCAGTAGATTCAGGGTAGGAGAGAGTAGATTTATTTAAATATTTCCTTTTTACTTTCCTACCTATACTAGGTAAGGAAAATATTGCGATCTGGTCAAATTTCCAACTTGCGGTCGGAATAACACATTTTCAGCCATTGGTCTGTCTCTCTGTCTGTCTGTGCCAAGATTATCTCGGGAACTAGTGGACCGATTTTGTTGCTTCTTTTTTTATTTTGTAGGGTTTTGACTACTGATGCCTGTAACAAAAATTGGGTTTTCTCTGTGCAATAAGTGAAAAACATATTTTTCTCTAGACTGTAGCACTAAAACGGCTCTAATGATTTTGATGAAACTTTCCTATAATTTTCTAATTAATATCCTTTCCATTTTTGTACTTGTACTAAATTCTCGAGAAAATTCAGGAAAAAAAATTTATTAAGAAAATGAATATGTATTGGGGCCTAACTCACTGAGTTACTTATGTACGTATTCTACGGTAAAATTATATGAAAACTTTTGAAAGGTAATTAAATTACCTACAAAACAAAAACAAAAAAAATCATCAGAATCGAACCAGAATTAGCGATGATATAGCGTATTCTATTTTCTACACATGTTTTAATTTATTACTTTTCTACCTACACTAGGTAAGGAAAGTATTGCGATGAGGTCAAATTTTCGACATGCGGTTTTCAATGGATCTATACATTTTAGAGCCCCCTGAGTCCGAAAAACATTGTTTAGTCTGTTTTTGTGATAGGTGATGAAATTCCCTACAAAACTATATAAAATTGTTCATTTCGGACAACTATTAACGAAGTTACAGCTATTCAATTATATGTAAGATTACGATGTCAATTATATATTCTGGTGTCAGAAAGGAGTGAATGAGAGAGAAAAAAGAAAAGTAAGTGAAAATAAGAAAATCTGTTGCTTGCATCACACAAGTTTCACTTTCCTTTCGACTTTTAACTGAAATCATTGTTGTATAAATGCAACCCCTTGACCAACAACTTCTCCTTGAATGACATTTATGAACATTTATGATTCACTATACCTACATCATTTTTTTTTTTTATATGTTTCTAATATATTTTAATAATTATTTTTTGATATTTTAGAAACGTTCTGAAGCAAAAACTGTAGTTCAAAATGAAATTGAAGCTATGGTTCCTGGGATTGACAAAGTAATGTCCTTAACTAAAGATACTGATGCTATGAATGTTCTTCGAAAAATTGGATCACAAAAGCAGAGAACAGTTTTGCAAAGAGATAGGCGATCTCATATGTTAGCCGAGAGTGTTAATTTTATAGAAACGGAAAAGGTTAAATTGATCTTCATTTTCCTGTGGTTTTTTCAAGAAAGACTGTTGTTTTTTTAAATTTCTTTTTGTTAACTTTTGATTTCAGGGCAAAGGTACGTTAAAAGTAACTGGTTACCTACGAGGGCGCAACTTAAGTGCTAACTCTTTAATTCACATACCAGGTTGGGGAGAGTTTCAGATTGAACAAATAGATCTTGCTCCATTTCCTGGTGATGATATCACTGATCCAAAAGTCCTGGATCGACCGGACCTCTTGAAACAGGTAAGTTAATGTTGTTAAATAAAGATTATAATATTAAAAAATGATGTATTATGATCTCTTTCTTGAGATTCTTAAGCCTGTTAATTACACATCACAACAGAAGCAATATTACCTAACCTTCTTGAATAACCAAATTTATTTTTTATTTTATTTACATATAATGTTTCATTTATTAATTCTTATCTGTAAAGAACTTCAGCCTATAAAGCCCTCTCTACATGTCAAACTCTTCAAATTCCCAATTTAATTCTCAGAAACATAAATGATAAATATATGCTATCAAATCATTAAATAAATGAGCGGTGATTTAGAAACTTTTAAAGGTATTCCTTCGCAAAATCTGTTGTGCTTCTTATTGCAGATGAATGCATTCTTATTTTTCATGGTTCATTCAACAAGATTATTAAGGTTGAGTGTTGGTGATATGAAAAAAAGACCTTGACAGAAAATGTTAAATAATAGGGCCTAATGGAATGAGTAGAAGTCGAGACAAGATGAATGTTATATAAGAGAGATGAACTGCCAAATAACTATCATCTGGACGGTCACCAAAGATGGGAAGGTTTGAATCTCCAGACTTCATGATCAATGAATCCTCAGACGATATTTGGAATTACAAGCAGGTGGGAAAAGACCCAGCCTTTTATCTGTTTTACAGGATTTTGAGATCAGGAGTGATCCTGGGTGCATTGATTAAATGCAAAATAAGTTATAGGAAAAAATAATTAAGTTAAGGCTAGTCGGAACTAAAAAGTAGAACAGATATATAGATGTACCAGTCAGGTTAGGAGAAATGGTGAGAGTAAATTGGCCTCTACTAGTTTAACCTCTATCATTGGCAACACATCAGGTTGCCTCTAACTCAATGTAGATGGCAGTTGATTATAAAACAAAAAATGCAATTGCTTAAACCACTATGCTAACCACCTGGCTATACTGGAATTAATAAAATAAGTACATGCCTTTTACTTACTTATCAAATCAGAAGAAAAAGAGGCTTCCTCTATATGTTCACAAAATAAAACAATTTAAAAAGTATATCAGGAATTATAAGGTCAGAGGTTGGCAAAAAACACCGTAAGGCACACTTATCGAACTAGTTCTCCCACCTATAGCAGGACCAGCAATACCAGTATTTATTGGCCTTTGACTGAAGGTTTTTTTATAAAATGGAGCTAGGCTACTCAAGGCACTATGAATAAAAGCTAAGGAGCTTTGACATTTCTCAAAATGCCCTTCTTGAAATTAAAATTGACCTAGATTTGTAACATCAAGCCTTAGTTCAAAAAAGTATATTTTATTATTAAACTAGCTTACTCTTTGCACGTTTCTGCGATCTAAGAAGAAAGGAAATTAAAGGTATTTTTAGGAATCATTTTTGTTGAAACATTTCAATGTTTCTGAGTTACAAATATTAAATGTGGTATTGCATTAGAATTGAGCTGTATCGTTTACCATAGCATTCATTCCGTGTGCATTAGAGCTATTTGATTGCCTGCATCTTCTTCAAACCAGCTTGATTAAATGTAGAATTATAAAAATTTTACTAGAAAAAAAAAAAAAACGATTTCTCAAAGCTCTGTGTAGAACATTAACACGATAATTATTACTGTATGGTTTGCTATTTTTAAATAATTGCATATAAAATATATGAGATGTCTCATACTACTTCTTGAACACATTGAGGAAAAATTTTCAGTAATTACAAAATTTTTGACTTATCAATAATGAAGAAAAAGGAAATGGTCTTTGCCGAAGAAAAAGTACTAAATGCTTAAAATGCTATATTTCTGCACCAAATCATCCAATTCCAATGATTTTTTTTTAATTTGTAGGGAATTCAGGAAGATTTGAAATGATTATTGGTATAATCAAGCAAAAATTGTGTACTTTTTTTTTTTAGTTATTGGCTAACATAATTCTGAATTCATCGTAACATTTTTTTCAGCTTATTTTAGGGGAACTATGTTCTATACATAAATTAAAAGGGCTTCAAGGGAAAACTTTTGCCTAGTTTCATAAAAATCGTTTCAGCCGTTTTGGAGCTACAGTCCATAGCAATACACATTTTTCAGCCACCATTTCGAAATGAAGGCTGGATGGTAAGTAAATGTTCATAAAAACATTCCTGAATTCGATTGCGACATTATGTCAAAATTTCAAAGCATTAGTCTAGAACTTTCGGAGATTAGCAGTTTTGAACAAACGAAGATTTACAGTTTTTTGTTTTCACTTATATAGAACAGATATACTTTGACAGAAATCTTTGTAGAAGTATACACAACTTCCCAAAGTTTCATGGCAATCAGATGAATGGTGCAGTTAGCTCAAAGAACAAACAGCTAGACAGATATACATTGAGGTCGTGATAGCTGATCATGTTAGAGTGTTGCCCATTTTAGCATTCTTGTGCCTAGCGAGTCGGGTTCGAATCCGGCCTGGGAGGGGTTAACTTTTATGAATTGAATAAAACTTGACCCTCTCACTCTGATTAGCATTGGTTTGGTAGTACCTCTAGAACAAAAAAAAAAAACAAGAAAAAAAACAGAAGTCTTACACGGATTTTTAAAAAATTTATTTAATAAATCAAAAAGTTTCTTTTTATATTATCTGAAGTTCTCAAGGGATCACAAAGCTATTCTCCTCCATCTATCTTCCTAACAGATTTTTAGTTCGCCAAGGACTAGCATAAAAAGCAATATTTTCATTTTTAAAATCTGAACATGTGGTAAGTCTCCCATGGCAACCATAGCACTTAAGAGACATTTGTCAAGAATTACTATTTATCTTGACTTTTTGGGCTTTAAAACATTTAGAGCAGCAGATAGTTCTAAGCCTTGATGACCTTATCGTAATATTTTGAATTTATCATTGATTTGATACTATCTGAATTTCCAAACCTCCTAATCTTTTCAACGGCTTTTATTTAAGTTGTTGAAGGAATTTAAGAATCAAAATTGTGATTTTTCACTTAACCATACAATTCCCTTTTGTTTGATACCTCATTTAAGAAAGTCCATTGCTTCTGAGGGAACTTGGAATAGAAAATTTTCACTATTTCATACTTTCCCTTACTATATGTATGTAAGTGAAAGTAAAAAATTATGGGAATATGGCATTTTTTGAAGATTAAATAAAAAAAAAAAAAATATTTTGATTTCATTAGGAGTCTCTTGTAAGTGAAAACATTCCTGACCCAATGGATGCTGAACAAACTTGGCCAACTGATGAGGAAATTCGAGAATTTTCTACAAAAAAGGTAAAAAAGATTCCAAAAGGGATGTCTGAGTATCAAGCTGCCTGGATTCCTGATGAGGACACAGGTAACAAAAACCCATATTTTTATTATCTTAACATTTCTTGCAAACCTTTTTAGAATTTGTTTGCAGCTTTTAGAATTACTATATACTTTTCTTTTGTCTTAGTTGATAACTATACTACCTTTATGATCTATATATAAATTCCATTTTATTAATTTCCTATACAGTTTAGAACTATTTCATTTCAGACCTACATAATAAATCTTGATCAAAATTGTTTTTTAACGTTTAGTTGTAATACTATACCTAATTGAATAAACAAACAATACCCAATATTTTATCTATAATATTCTGCTTTAATAAGTTAACAGTTTGCATACTAGATGGAAAAGATTGTTGATAATGAGAGTGATTATATCATTTATTAACAATAAAAACTCGTTAAAAATTTATTGTTTTTGAATTTAATGTAAGAAAATGACATTACTTTCCAGTCCCCCTGATATTTTTTTAAAGTAATGCTCTTATCCTCATTGATGTCACTTTACAGGGCTTAAATGCTTAAATATTCAACATGTCTTTCTCTAAATTACCTTTAATTTGTTTTACTATAAATAATTGACCACCTCATTATTAAGAGTTACAAAAAATGCTAAATAAAACCTTTGAAAGAGTTTGATAATTGCAAAATGGAGAAAAAATAAAAAGTTTATTTAGGTTGAAAATGAATTACTTGTCAGAAGGTATACCTATAATATATCGTTGGAAAGCGTAGAATTTTAGAAAAAACAATATCTAATATAGAAAGTAATGGAGAATGACAAAAAGTTATAAATAATAATTTTTGAAAACTAATATTATTTAACGGAAATCACATGTTTTCAAGAAAATTAAATGAATACCTTTGCTAACTAAATGTAAACTTTTTTTAAGTTTAAAAAAAAAGTATTTAAAATCCACCTAATCAAGGCAATGCCATTGTTAAAAAAAATATTTCATAGTACTTATGTGTAAGAAGAAGTGAAATACCAAAATATTTCATGGATATGTTTATAACCTTAAATATATTTACTGTAGTTTAATAACTCTAGATCTGATATTTTATTTAAATAATTAGGTATTAATGTCTGTTTATTCCGAAAAATTGTCATGTAACCTTTTAAAAAATTAGATTAGTGAATAATTTGATGAATTTTCCCTTAGTGAAATCCAAACATTGTCTGCTTAAAATTAGTGTAAAAACTTTTGGCCTGTCTATGGCAGGCAATGAAAATCTCGTAATTCCTTTGTAGTAAGCTTTGCAATAGAAAATAACAGTGCAATAACTAGTAGGTGTATAATCCATAATTATTTATGGGTTGGATATAGAGTTATACTTTCAAAACCTCGAAACATATACATATTGCTCAGAGACTGGAGTTATGTGGTTTACAAAAACAGATGGAGTACCAAGGTATTGTCTACCTTTGATATTAATTGATGGGTTTTTGGTTATTTTAATGGTGTTAATGATTGTTAGCTGTAAACTTTGAGCTGTAGTTCCGTTTAAAGTGCACTTAAAAATTTTATAATTTCTCAACATTGCCAGAAAATGATTTCTATTCAAAGCAGAAAAGTAAGTGAAAGTTCTGTGTTGCGCGTACCCGATTTCTGATATACTCACAGGGGTTTTATAATTTTTGTTTATTTGAATGAAAATTCCTGAGATTGTATAATGGAGTTATTAGTTATTAGTGATATTTCCCGTATCTAGTGAATTGAATTTTCAAGATTTCTTTAATCTATTTTCATCATTACACCATGATCAACAGTAAAAAAATAAAGATTAAAGAGAACTAAGTTGTGCTCCAAAAGATCTTTAATGTATCTGAGATAGTTTCTAATAGGAGATGTAAGAAACAAACCCTCTATAAAACTGAGGAAATGAAAAAAAAATCATTAGTAATAACTATTAATTATATAGTATTATTTATTTGCTGTTTTCCTTTTCTTTTTTTTTTAAGTTACTTTTTCATTTCATTTTCTGTACTTAATGAAAGTGCTATATTGAAAATAATTTATTGTATAAATTTTAGTCGAAGTAAATGAAGATGATGATGATGATGATGATGATGGGATGGATGTTGTCAGTGCTGTCTCAGAACAGGAAAGCTGTGAAAGTGAAGAATATGAAACAATGACAGTGGCCTCTGAAGCAGCACCAGACCCTGAAAAATATGATACAGAAATGGATATGGATGAAGAGAAGGTTGCACTAGAAAAAGTTAAAAGTAATGAATTAATTTTAATTCACTACAAATTTATTTAAAATATATTGTTTATTTATTAAATGGTCACAAATTAAAGGAGGGATAAACCAGACTTGGGCAGTATTTCAAATAAGTACAAAATAATACACTTAAAATTTATTTTTTGTATGTTTCATTTTAAGAAGTGCAATATAAAATACATTGTTTATAAAATACATAATTAAGTAAATTATAAAATACATTGTTTGCAACTGTATTTTTTTATTAAAAGACAAAAAGTATTTTATTTTATTTCTAAGATTATAAAATACAAAAAAATGTAGTTTATTTCGTATTTTAAATACACAAAATAAATTATCAAATAGAGTCGGTTCTCTGTGTTATATGCTGATACAAAAGTTTTTTTTTTTTTTTTAAATTAAAATATAATGGATTTTAAGAACACAAATATTGCATATTTTAAATGTTGCATTTTAAAATAAAATACATTTTACCGAGGTCTGGCATCAAGCTATAGCTACTTCACTAATAATTTTAAAGTAACATAAATAATTAGAGTTCTGATAAATTTTCCTTTCCTAAAAATTTTTCAAAACTTATAACATCTTAATTTTAATTATAATGCTGTACAAGATTAATTATTAAAATATTGAATATTATTCATTTTTTAATTTCTTTAGAGGCAAAAGAAGATTTAGAGTTTCCTGATGAAGTAGACACCCCTCAAGATATTCCAGCCAGAGAAAGGTTTGCTCGTTATAGAGGATTGGCATCATTTAGAACAACACCTTGGGATCCAAAAGAGAATTTACCTCTTGATTATGCCAGAATTTTTCAATTCCAAAATTTTACTAAAACAAAAAAATCTGTGTTGGCTGAGGAGCCTTCAGGAGCTCAAGTAATTATCATTTTTAAAAAAATATATTTTTCTTTCAATATTAATTTAGTCACACTAATTTATTGTTTTAGTGATTAGATATGTATAATGTTAGCTTTTGTGGGTGGGGTGACCGAATGGGCTAACGCGTGTGCACTGCACTGCCGTTGCCCGGCAACCTGATACATAAGACTTTGATAAAAAAAATAGTCACGAGTTCTCATCCCGGTGCCCGGAGGAGTTTTTATATCCCCGCCCACACTCCCTCATCCAGGAAAACGCCCATATAGCCTTAAAGGCGAGGACAAAAAAAAAAAAAAAAAGATATGTGTAATGTAAGAAAAGTTTTTTTATATTATAGCATTCACACTCTTTTTACTTTCACTTACATGAAATATGTAGTGAAAGTAAAAATCTAATCATAATTAAAACTAGAATCTGAGTTTTGGAAGAAAATACACATTTTAAGATCGACCAGCTCCTAATAACCAACTTGCAAAATGGACTGTGCATCTGCTTTTGTGTGAATAATTCGATAATTGAATTTGAAAAAAAAGAAATTTTTTCACAGATCGAAAACAAATTTATGGGAACAAGAGTAAAAATTTATATGCATAATATATTGTTGGAGAGGTGGGGCTCTATCCAGTTTTCCAGCAGCAATATTTCCTAGGTATTCCTTTTCCAAACCTTTACAACCAAAAAGCCATCTTACCTTTATTTGTTTACTCATTGCTCCTCTGTTCATTTGTTTAACACGAGATCCCAGTTCATAAACCTGTTTGTTCCCTCTCATAGACCAGTTTTTTATCATCATAGAACATAATCCTTTTATCATGCATGCCACCTTTTTCTGGAATTCTTCACCTACCTCTATACGCAAATCCTCTTCCTTAACCTGATTTAAACATTTATTCTTCCATCTCCTATGCAATTCTTCCGAGTACATGTAATAATAAAATTTTGTATTTAAGAGATGTCACCTTCATCACCACTGTTATTTTGCTGTTACTTATATATTGTTAATCAGAAAAAACATGTGAACACACTTATATATTTATGTAAAAATTATTTGGTTTGTATTGTCAATATTTATTGCATAAGAAATTATATTATTCATACTTCATACCTTCAGTTTATATTAAATATATCTGATATAGAATTTGGTGCATTACAATGTCCAAATGTATTATTTGTTTAATATATATGATGGGAGGTGCACATAACAATCTTACTATAATGAAGTATGTACTTTTAGGCAGGATGGTATATTACCATCCATTTGAAAGATGTTCCCACTGTATTATATCAGATGAGAGGGCAGCAGCCAATAGTGTTGTATGGAATGTTGCCTCATGAAGTCAAAATGTCTGTTATCAATATGGTCCTTAAGAGAGTTCCTGGCTCTTCTGAACCTTTAAAATCGAAGGAAAATCTTTTGTTTCAAGTTGGTTACAGAAGATTTCGTGCATCTCCAATTTATTCCCAACACTCCTCAGGAAATAAACATAAGGTAAGTGCTTGTATTATTAAACCAATGAATTTCGAAATACTAGTATACCTGTGTGAGGTTTCTCTCATTATATATGTATTCTTCTTTTATCTAATATATTTGAAGTATAAAGAATTATAATTATTGAGAAAATACTTATATTTCTATAATGAATATTTTATTACCTAGTAGGACCGTTTAACCACAATTGGTGAAGTTCCATACTTTATAATGACCATAATGGTTACCCAATAAATGATTTGATTATTCTTTTGAAAAATATCCAAGAGTTCTCAGAGATATCACCCTCTTCTTATTTACCTTTTCGATAAATTTTTATAGTCTCATTGATAATAATCATAATAAATATTATCAAATAGCAATACTTTAATAACCTAAATGAGATGTGACTCCAACTGTATAATATAACCAAATATCCCAAGGCAACCATGGAACCTAGGAGGCTTTCGGCATGAATTAGGATTTATCTCAAAAACAGTATATTTTAGGGCCTTAAAGCCAGTATCCAGAAATCTTTGTTTTATGCGCAATCAGATATTTAAAACATTTTGTCCTATCTTGATCCATTGCCTTATCACCATCTGAGTTATGAAATCTCTCACTTTTTCAATGACTTTTAGTTAGATTTCAAGTTTAAAAATTTGTAGTCCTCACTTCTCCGTGAAATTTCCTTTCGTTTGAAAGCTCATTAATCAAAATCCATTGCTCCTGGGAGTCAGAAAAGAAATGAATATCACTGTATTTATATAAACTGTAGATATTTCCTAATAAATGTGTATTAAAGAAAATTTGTCTGAAGTTTATTTAAGTATGTATTTAATATAATTTTATGATCATGATCCATTTTTTTTCTCTTTAGTTTACCTGAAGTCTTCAGGTTTCATGGTGCTGCATAACAGATTACTCATCTCTGATAATTTTCAATTTATTTTTATTGATAATTTAATTTAATTTAAATTGTAATGGTATTTTCTTATTTTTATGTATATATGTTCATTTATTTGTTTCAGTATGAGCGGTTTTTTCAACCAGATAGTGTAGTAGTTGGTACAGTATTTGCTCCTGTTATCTTTCCACCTGCTTCTGTCCTTGTTTTTAAGGAAAATAGTGATAGAACTATTGTAAGTTGGTCTTAACTATTTCTGTCTATTCATCTATGTATGCTCTATACTTAATAAATTTTTAATGAACATTTCACCCTGGAAGTAATTTGCTGGGGGAGTGAGGTTGGTTAATGATTAAGGCACTGTGATCCTATTCTGTCTTGCCTGAATTCAAGTCCAGCTGTGGCAAACAATAATTATTATATACCAGCTGTGGGTTGAACGTTGGGCCGGGAAGCTTTCTTGTGGTTGATACAGCCTCCATAAAGCGGATACCCTTACTTAAGCAAAAACTTGGTGATTGAGCGTGGTCATGGTCAAATTTTCTTCTTGCATAACCATTTGGTTAAAAATAGTGGTTTTTAAAATTATAGATATTAATTATATAACATAATTTTCTCTACCAAAACCTCTAAACATGCTTTGAATGTCTTTTGAATAAGATTGGGTCTAGAATTGGTAAGATCAAGACCAATATGAGAAACTGTATTATAACATTTTAATATCTTGCTATTGGTGATGATGATTCATGCAGTAGTTTAATGTAGAAGTGCATTATATTTCTTATCAACATGCACTTGAGTTCACTTAGTCATACTCTTGAATTCATGAAGAAAAGTTTAAAAAAATATCAATCAAGTTTGGCAGATAAAAATGTTGGTTACATGTTCATATTCATAAACAATGGATTGTTCTAAGTTTAAAATTGATAAATTTGTTGTATTTATTTTATAAAGTTTATGCAATTAGCTACAAATACCAGTTATAGACATGATAAATGAGTGAGGTTCACGGGATCAAAATATTTTTTATTATTTTGAAAATTACATTTTATGCGTAGGAATTATTTGATGTTATAAATATTACAAAATCAAGGCCATTATCGCGCAAAATCACAGGAACTAATAACTTACATCAAATTTGCTAGATGCATAGTTGTTAATGGCATAAAAGAATTTATAATTTATAAATTACATTATTCATATAGTTACTTCAGGAGGAATTAATGAATTATTTAAAAAGTTTTAATTTTGTTTTTTATCAAAATATTTTTAATGGAATTGAATCAATCATGAATATCTTTTTCAAACACAAGAATTTGCTCCTGTCACTTCTTCAGTCGTTCCTCTATTGGTATTGGGATGTATACATGTAAATCCCCTATACTACCAGTTATTGGACATGCCATTTTTAAATTTGAAACAGTGATTTCGACCTATCGGTAATTCCTTCACACTCAAAAATAAATTCATTCTTCGTTTTGGAAATCCTTGTTTACATCAATGAATCAGTGAGAAAATTTATGTGCCCTACCTTCTTCAAGCTAACATCATTTATCCTACTCATTATGTTAATTTTTTTTAAATTTTCAAATTAAAACCCTTTCTTTGGTGATGTTATCTTTATTCTGTGAATATCTTTTTTTGTTTGTTTTTTCTTTCAATAACAGCAATCATTTACCGTTAAAACCAAAGGCCTTCCAAAGTATTTTGAAGAAAAAAACAAAACAAGATGTCATGACCTGTGATCATAACTAGGAAACAACATTGTCCTTAAGGTTTATTAGTATTAATAAACTAGAAAAGATAAATGCCATAGGTGACCATAACTGAAGTCTTAGATATTTATTAAATTATTTTGGTTGAAAATTTCTATTAATTAAATGGCAAAATGAAAATAAAATATCCAGAACAATTCTTCAACTATTTTTAAAAATAAAACTTCACTAAGTCGTTTTAAGTAATACTTCACTTGAGTCGTTTTGCTCATCAGTATGGGGGAAGGAATTATTTTAGTAGCCAATAGGAATGGGAAATGAGAAAGATTTTGCTAGTAAATGAATAATAAATACTTATGTGAAATGTCTACCATGCATTCTTAACAAAAAAATCATGTAGTCGCTTATTATTTTGAAAGTTGTTAACACTTTCCTATAACTGTTGATTTAATGAATATCAGTTACACTTGTGTTAAGCAATTATTTTTTATTTTCAGACCACTGTAGCAACTGGTAGTGTTCTTTCTGTTAATCCAGACAGAATAGTTGTGAAAAGGGCTGTTTTGAGCGGTCACCCATTTAAGGTTTTAAAAAGATCTGCTATAATAAGGTTTATGTTTTTTAATCGAGAAGATATTGAATGGTTTAAACCTGTAGAACTGAAGACTAAATATGGCCGTAGAGGTCATATTAAGGAACCCTTGGGTAATACATTTATTGTTAATTCATATTTCATAAACATGTATTTAAAGTTTGTTATCTATAGCATACACTTTGCATACTAGGCATTTTATTCAGTCAATAATCCTTTAAATCTGTTCCAAAGAACAATTTAGAAAGATTATGAATGAAATGATAAAAAAAGTAGTATTAATTAATTAAATTTATTTTAATTGAATACTTGAAACCAACTTTTCGATCCGACTTTGCAGGTCCTCTTCAGAGCTAGAATGAACCAGATAGAAAAGGCTATAGAACAATGTGGCAGTTACATAACGCTTAGATGAAAATATAAACAATGTGAATAAACTTATTAAAATTGTACACAGTGTGAATAGCAAGTACAAAGAAATATTAAGAACAATGAACTATATAAACAAAGTATAATTAAGTAACAATATCCTAAATTGAAGTAAATAAATGGTAACAATTATTGGAAATAGGGAAAAATTAAATGCAATAAGGAGGATGGATAATATAAGCAATAATAGATATAATCCTACAGATCTCTAGGGAACATTGAAAGAAAAAGGAAAAGTAATGGACATAAAAGTATAGTGAAATAAATGAAAAAAATTGAAAATAGAAACTTACGGTTGTATGGAGTTTGAAGTTTCGGTTGAGACTGAGGAAATATAGGAGGGAAGGGGAAGAAGAAATAGTTGACCTGGTTAGGGGATAGTGGAGGTAAGTAGTGATCAACCGAAACTCCATACTGCATACAACCTTAAGTCTATTTTTAATTTTTTTTTTGTTTATTTAGTCCGTTATTTCTTATTAATTATCCTTTTTCTTTCAATCTTTCCTTGAGATCTGTAGGATTACATTCATTATTGTGTATATTATCCATCCTGCTTCTTACATAAAAATTTTCTCTATTTCCAATAATCTGTAATAATTGTTACCATTTATTTACATCAGTTTAGGATCTTGTTACTCAGTTTTTTTGTTCATAATATTTCTTTGTACTTGCTTTGTATAATTTTAATAAGTTTATATTTTTATCTAAACATTATGTAACTGCCACATTGTTCTATAGCCTTTATATCTAGTTCTAGTCCTGAAGAACTGCAACGTCGGCTTTAAATAAAATAGTTTTTTTTCATTACTATTTTAGTCTTTTTATGGCTGGTCATCTCAGATCATCTTCTTACTCAATTTCTTTTAATGTGTTATTTAATAACAGAATTGTTGGCTGAGTACATATTTAATACTAACTAAGCAAGTTATTGTCAAAAAACTATTGCATACCAAATTATTTAATGTTTTGAATTTCATAGAGGACTGTATGTTGAGTTTATATTTATATTGGTTGCAAATATTGCAACTCTGAAATTATGTAGAGATACAAATATTAATAATTAATTAAGTGACTAATACTTTTTGCTTACAGGTACTCATGGACACATGAAATGTGTATTTAACGCTCAATTAAAGTCACAGGATACTGTATTGATGCACCTTTATAAAAGAATTTTTCCCAAGTGGACATATGATCCTTGTGTTAATTTTGCACCTATTACTCTGTAGATATGAAGTACATATGTAAATATGTATATAAATATTTTTAAAATAAAAAAATTACTAAATCTTATTTTTACTTATTGATTTATAGTATATACATTTTTTCAAACATGAACTGTTTTATAGACTCTCACAATTTGTCCTTTTTTCCCTTTATAGTTGCTGTGTTATCATTACAAAATCTGATTTAGTACTTGCAGTTTATTATGATTAAAATTTCAAATTGTAATACATATGCTTGTAATTCGAACACTTATACACTTGATACTATAAAGTAGAGATGGGCAGTACTCGATTACTTTCATGATTTGAGTAATTTTATTAGGAAGAAGTATCGAGTAGTTTCTGTACTCGGCCTGCCAGCGGCGAGTACTGAGAGTACTCACGCAGCGTCAATCATGATTTAGTTAAGTACAGAAAATACTCGGGCTGTTATATCGAATTACAGAAAGTACTCAGCCGAATTTCTACAAAGAGTACTTTTTATTTTTCAACTACTCCGTCATTATTATGTAGAGTATAAATGTTTTCTTTTATTTCCTTCAATAATAGCGGCCATATTCGACCTGACCAACCCCGAGCCCCCATTAATCGATATTAGACTAACCATCATGTTTTGGGGGCCCTTTTTTATAAAAATATACTGTCGGATTTTAGATAGTGCCCCCGGGCATCGAATTTTCATAACTTTTTCGATTAAATCGATATCAGGGTCAACTATTAAGTTTTGGGGGGCGCTTTTTATGAAAATATCGAATTCGAGATTGGGCCCCCGGGGCCCCGACTTTTTTTAACTTTTTGAATTAAATCGATATCAGGGTCGACTATTATGTTTTGGGGGGCGCTTTTTATGAAAATGATATCGAATTCGAGACTGGGCCCCCCGGGCCCCGACTTTTTTTAACTTTTTGGATTAAATCGATATCAGGGTCGATTAGTATGTTTTGGGGGGCGCTTTTTATGAAAATAGCGCCCCCCAAAACCTAATAGTCGACCCTGATATCGATTTAACACAAAGACTTAAAAAAGTCGGGGCCCGGGGGGCCCAATCTCGAATTCGATATCATTTTCATAAAAAGCGCCCCCAAAACCTAATAGTCGACCCTGATATCGATTTAATCCAAAAAGTTAAAAAAAGTCGCGGCCCGGGGGCCCAATCTCGAATTCCATATCATTTTCATAAAAAGCGCCCCCCAAAACCTAATAGTCGACCCTGATATCGATTTAATCCAAAAAGTTAAAAAAAGTCTAGGCCCGGGGGTCCAATCTCAAATTCGATAAAATTTTCATAAAAAGCGCCCCCCAAAACCTAATAGTCGACCCTGATATCGATTTAATTCAAAAAGTTAAAAAAAGTCGGGGTCCGGGGGGCCCAATCTCAAATTCGATATAATTTTCATAAAAAGCGCCCCCCAAAACCTAATAGTCGACCCTGATATCGATTTAACACAAAGACTTAAAAAAGTCGGGGCCCGGGGGGTCCAATCTCAAATTCGATATCATTTTCATAAAAAGCGCTCCCCAAAACATACTAATCGACCCTGATATCGATTTAACACAAAAACTTAAAAAAAGTCGGGGCCCGGGGGCACTATCTCAAATCCGACAGCATTATTATAAAAGTCAAGTGGTGTAAAAAAAAAAAAAAAAAGGTCCCTAAAGTTGATTAAATCCAAAGTATTTTAATAATTCTTTATTTTTTCGATTTACATTAATATCTAGTAAGTACAGAAAATACTCGGGCTGTTATATCGAATTACAGAAAGTACTCAGCCGATTTCTACAAAGAGTACTTTTTATTTTTCAACTACTCCGTCATTATTATGTAGAGTATAAATGTTTTTCTTTTATTTCCTTAATAATAGCGGCCATATTCGACCTGACCAACCCCGAGCCCCCATTAATCGATATTAGACTAACCATCATGTTTTGGGGGCCCTTTTTTATAAAAATATACTGTCGGATTTTAGATAGTGCCCCCGGGCATCGAATTTTCATAACTTTTTCGATTAAATCGATATCAGGGTCAACTATTAAGTTTTGGGGGCGCTTTTTATGAAAATATCGAATTCGAGATTGGGCCCCCGGGGCCCCGACTTTTTTTAACTTTTTGAATTAAATCGATATCAGGGTCGACTATTATGTTTTGGGGGGCGCTTTTTATGAAAATGATATCGAATTCGAGACTGGGCCCCCCGGGCCCCGATTTTTTTAACTTTTTGGATTAAATCGATATCAGGGTCGATTAGTATGTTTTGGGGGGCGCTTTTTATGAAAATAGCGCCCCCAAAACCTAATAGTCGACCCTGATATCGATTTAACAAAAGACTTAAAAAAGTCGGGCCCGGGGGGCCAATCTCGAATTCGATATCATTTTCATAAACGCCCCCCAAAACCTAATAGTAGACCACTGATATCGATTTAATAAAAAGTTAAAAAGTCGCGGCCCGGGGGGCCCAATCTCGAATTCATATCATTTTCATAAAAAGCGCCCCCCAAAAACCTAATAGTCGACCCTGATATCGATTTAATCCAAAAAGTTAAAAAAAGTCTAGGCCCGGGGGGCCAATCTCAAATTCGATTAAAATTTTCATAAAAGCGCCCCCCAAAAACCTAATAGTCGACCCTGATATCGATTTAATTCAAAAAGTTAAAAAAGTCGGGGTCCGGGGGGCCAATCTCAAATTCGATATATTTTCATAAAAAGCGCCCCCAAAAACCTATAGTCGACCTGATATCGATTTAACCAAAGACTTAAAAAAGTCGGGGCCGGGGGGTCCAATCTCAAATTCGATATCATTTTCATAAAAAGCGCTCCCCAAAACATATAATCGACCCTGATATCGATTTAAACAAAAACTTAAAAAAAGTCGGGGCCGGGGGCACTATCTCAAATCCGACAGCATTATTATAAAAGTCAAGTGGTGTAAAAAAAAAAAAAAAGTCCCTAAAGTTGATTAAATCCAAAGTAATTTTAATAATTCTTTATTTTTTTCGATTTACATTAATATCTAGTTAAGTACAGAAAATACTCGGGCTGTTATATCGAATTACAGAAAGTACTCAGCCGAATTTCTACAAAGAGTACTTTTTATTTTTCAACTACTCCGTCATTATTATGTATGAGTATAAATGTTTTCTTTTATTTCCTTCAATAATAGCGGCCATATTCGACCTGACCAACCCCGAGCCCCCATTAATCGATATTAGACTAACCATCATTTTTGGGGGCCCTTTTTATATAAAAATATACTGTCGGATTTAGTAGTGCCCCCTCATCGAATTTTCATAACTTTTTCGATTAAATCGATATCAGGGTCAACTATTAAGTTTTGGGGGGCGCTTTTTTGAAAATATCGAATTCGAGATTGGGCCCCCGGGCCCCGACTTTTTTTAACTTTTTGAATTAACGATATCAGGGTCGACTATTATTTTTGGGGGCGCTTTTTATGAAAATGATATCGAATTCGAGACTGGGCCCCCGGGCCCCGACTTTTTTTAACTTTTTGGATTAAATCGATATCAGGGTCGATTAGTATGTTTTGGGGGGCGCTTTTTATGAAAATGATATCGAATTCGAGATTGGGCCCCCCGGGCCCCGACTTTTTTTAACTTTTTGGATTAATCGATATCAGGGTCGACTATTAGGTTTTGGGGGCGCTTTTTATGAAAATGATATCGAATTCGAGATTGGGCCCCCTGGGCCCCGACTTTTTTTAACTTTTTGGATTAAATCGATATCAGGGTCGACTATTAGGTTTTGGGGGCGCTTTTTATGAAAATGATATCGAATTCGAGATTGGGCCCCCCGGGCCCCGACTATTTTTAACTTTTTGAATTAAATTGATATCAGGTCGACTATTAGGTTTTGGGGGGCGCTTTTATGAAAATGATATCGAATTCGAGATTGGGCCCCCCGGACCCGACTTTTTTTAACTTTTTGAATCAAATTGATATCAGGGTCGACTATTATGTTTTGGGGGGCGCTTTTTATGAAAATGATATCGAATTCGAGATTGGGCCCCCCCCCCGACTTTTTTTAACTTTTTGGATTAAATCGATATCAGGGTCGACTATTAGGTTTTGGGGGCGCTTTTATGAAAATGATATCGAATTCGAGATTGGGCCCCCCGGGCCCCGACTATTTTTAACTTTTTGAATTAAATTGATATCAGGGTCGACTATTAGGTTTTGGGGGGCGCTTTTTATGAAAATGATATCGAATTCGAGATTGGGCCCCCGGGCCCCCGACTTTTTTTAACTTTTTGGATTAAATCGATATCAGGGTCGACTATTAGGTTTTGGGGGGCGCTTTTTATGAAAATGTCCGGGGGGCCCAATCTCAAATTCGATATAATTTTCATAAAAAGCGCCCCCCAAAACCTAATAGTCGACCCTGATATCGATTTAACACAAAGACTTAAAAAAGTCGGGGCACGGGGGGTCCAATCTCAAATTCGATATCATTTTCATAAAAAGCGCCCCCCAAAACCTAATAGTCGACCCTGATATCGATTTAATCCAAAAAGTTAAAAAAAGTCGCGGCCCGGGAGGCCCAAACTCGAATTCCATATCATTTTTAAAAAGCGTCCCCCAAAACCTAGTAGTCGACCCTGATATCGATTTAATCCAAAAAGTTAAAAAAATCGCGGCCCGGGGGCCCAAACTCGAATTCGATATCATTTTCATAAAAAGCGCCCCCCAAAACATAATAGTCGATCCTGATATTGATTTAATCCAAAAAGATAAAAAAAGTCGAGGCCCGGGGGGCCCAATCTCCAATTCGATATCATTTTCATAAAAAGCATCCCCCAAAACCTAATAGTCGACCCTGATATCCATTTAATTCAAAAAGTTAAAAATAGTCGGGGCCCGGGGGGCCCAATCTCGAATTCGATATCATTTTCATAAAAAGCGCCCCCCAAAACCTATATCGACCTGATATCGATTTAATCCAAAAAGTTAAAAAAAGTCTAGGCCCGGGGGTCCAATCTCAAATTCGATAAAATTTTCATAAAAAGCGCCCCCCAAAACCTAATAGTCGACCCTGTATTTTAAATTCAAAAAGTTAAAAAGTCGGGGTCCGGGGGGGCCCAATCTCAAATTCGATATAATTTCATAAAAAGCGCCCCCCAAAACCTAATAGTCGACCCTGATATCGATTTAACACAAAGACTTAAAAAAGTCGGGCCCGGGGGGTCCAATCTCAAATTCGATATCATTTTCATAAAAAGCGCTCCCCAAAACATACTAATCGACCCTGAATCGATTTAACACAAAAACTTAAAAAAAGTCGGGGCCCGGGGCACTATCTCAAATCCGACAGCATTATTATAAAAGTCAAGTGTTAAAAAAAAAAAAAAAAAAGGTCCCTAAAGTTGATTAAATCCAAAGTATTTTAATAATTCTTTATTTTTTTATTTACATTAATATCTATACTATTTTAAAAAACTATACCCCCATAAGATAATAATGGACTAAACATGGAAGAAATATTAAATATTCTACTCCTGTAATTTTTATAATGAAATACTCTATAACTTTTGAAAAGTACTCAGAGTAAAATATCCCGAGTAGATTTGAAAATAGAAATACTCACGAGGCCAGCTGATTACTTTTTGTACTCGTCAATCATGAGGTCGAGTAGTGATTGAAGTACTCGATACTCGAACCGAGCGAGTATTGAGTAAATTACTCTGTAATTGTACTTTTTACTCAGAGTACAATTTTGCCCATCTCTACTATAAAGCCCTATTTATTTTCTTGACTAAATTAAGTAGAGGAAGTAAGTTAATCGATTGACATAAAGTTTGTTAGATTCTATCAGATTTACATGTTTTAAGCCCATTAGGCACATCACCTTTATCAACATATTTCCTTAAAATAATAAAAATATATCTATTATTCATATTTTATTAGGTTGTAAGAGGTAGGAAAATAAAAGTGACATATTTAATAAAAATATATTTATTAATCTTAATTAAAACATCCGGAGGTAAAGACTTGGTTTACCAGGCATACTCACAGACTTGTGATCTTAGGTATTTTGACCTCAGGACCATCACTTGACGAGAAGTGGCAAGGCCTTTGTCAGATAGCCACCAAAGCCAGTAGGGTACACTATCCTACAAGTCAGTGTATTTATTGTGATAAATGGTGTGTTTAATAGATTTCGAAAAAAGCTTAAATGTTAAGTGGCGATTTTTTAAAGAAAAAAAGAACAAATTTTGCAGATTCCAGGGATAAAATCCCAATCAAGGAATACACATGTAAATGTAACTTAAATATCATAAAACTACAATACTAAAAATATCAAAACAAAATATGGCATAATTACCCTATTACAATTGTAATTGAAAATCTGATTTTGATTCCAATCACAGTCACAGTAACATAATCAAAATCACCAATATAAAAAAAATACATGAAAACTACATTTTATCAAAACTCTGATTTTAATATAATATCCTCTGGATATCAAGAAAATCTTATTTTGATGTGTTTCGTCTCGATCTGTTTGGTCCCATTTTTTTCTCATCCTAGATAATTAACTAGTAATAATTTGAGATAGTTTTAACCCCAAAGCATGGATGTGCATTTGTATAGATATAGCAAAAATGTTACTTGATCATTTTCTCTTGAAGTGTAGAGCAAATTTTATTTTGAACAACAAATGATTTAGTTAGTTTTTCGAATAACTGAAATGTAAACTTTTCCCAACTGTTTGGGAGACAGGTGAAAAGGAAAAGTCCACACATGTAAAATTTTTCAACTTATCATTAAATGTAGCTCTTGAACTATCCAATTGGGTTTTCATGGTTCAAACAAATTTTTTAGAAGTAGACTAAAACCAAAACTATGCACTGTGAAATTTTTTAGCTTTTTCTCATATATTTCTTGAAGGGGTGAATGAATTTTCTGACTTTTTGGAGGTATGCTGAAAGAAAAGTTTCCATTCACTTTTCCTGTTATATCTCATTAATGGTCAAATCTATTTTCATGATCCTAATAATTTTCTGTCTGTTTAGAGGTAGACTATAAGAAAAACAAATATGAAAATCAGATGAGAATTTTTGTTTAAGTGGGTGTGAACTAAACGGCTTCTTTATGACGCAACATGTTGCCCGACCTAAAGTGGCACCTGAGTGAAACAGACTCTGAAGGGAGTGAATAGACAAAGGGGAATACTATTATTGTGTGGGAAGAAGGCTCAGCTTGCCAATGGTGTAGTGACACGTGGTATGGAATCACTATCACAAAAAAACAGATGATATTCTGCCAAGTGACCAATTGAGCAGGGACAGGTTGTCACTCTGGATACCCACAACAGTTCCTGACAGGTTTGGAACAGACGGTTGTAGCCACTGTTGCTGCAAAGTGACTTGCGATTGAGGGAAGCAGTAGTAAAATCACAATCAGGATAGGATGTAAGAGGACAGGAATTACAGATAGATCTAAATCTGGGTGCAAACAGTGATAAACTCTTAATAAGTGAGTTTCGCTTTCCAACCTCATGCATGAGATGTTGCTTGGCAGACTTAATGGCTGTCTCCCAGATTAGGCAAAAAAAGCACCTATTGCACTTCTTAAGACGATTACGCACCACACTGTCCACCATTTAGAATTCAATACTTTCGATATATAAATAAATGGTAAACATAGTCGCAGCAAGACAAAGATAAGTGTTCTCAATCTCAAGTTGAGTGAAATAAGCAACTTTAGGGAGAGGAACTGTTTGTTTGTGCTGATATGATAGCACTAATACAGAAACACTATCACCAACACGGATAAGTAGATGTTAGTCGATGTACAAAAAAATTTCATAATGAGACAATGATAAGCAGATTTCTGGAAATAGGCTCCTCTGGGAAATATTTAGTTTGGACCAAGTGAATAAGACGATCTTCTACTTCATGCAGTTGAGCATAAGACAAGAACGGAAAGGCAATATGCGCCGAGAGGTGAATAGAAAATGTCGACAGAAGGTGACCCACTCATTTCAGCCTAACTAGAGAGGAAAATATAACCAATTAGCATGATGGAAAATAGTATTAATTTAGAAAAAGAGTGGCAGGGCAGTGGGGATCTTAGTTGCCAAAAGAAAGTTGGATGAAGAATGAATCAAGATCATGAAGGAGAACAATTAACATATTTTTTATTCTTAGTACAGATAACAATAATAAATAATTAATTTTGGGAAATAAAAATAAACTAAATTTACTTTAATATTATCAACTTTTTAGCAACACTTTAATTAATCGAATTGAAAAAGAAAATTAATAAATACAAGAACTTGATTAGAAGCCAACAAAATATTTGGGACTGAAGGAACTATAACAGACAGTTACAACAACAAAAACTTAAATTCATTTCTTCACATAAATCTTCTATTCTGCAATTACAAAAATATTTGGAAAAATACATTAAATTAGCCCTTCTTCTCCTTATTGACTCACTTTTATACCTATTCCATTCGCTACAACTTTCTTCTTCTGGATCGGAATATGATGGAACCATTCAGAAGCATGGCAGCATTTACAAACCATTACTTTTTTCTGGTAGACAGTATGTTCAAAAATCTTCCTCTAGTCATTTCCTTGGCTTCTTCAAGACCTAATTTATAGGCCTGGTCATGAAGCTTCTTTAGTTCTTGAATCAGAGATTCTTTTGAAAGAGTACTGTAATCTATAGAAAACAGAATTGTGTAATTTAATAATCTGTAAGAAATAATTTTTGAAAAATTTAGAATGAATAGTAGGTATTTTCATAATATAAAAATTTATAAAATAACATTTCCATAAATCAATAATGAATAAAAAAGTAGATGGTACGTAACAAATATCATTGGTTTCTGTAGAAAAGAGAAAATTTGACCTGTTCAGTATTTTTGAATTTTTACCCTTTTAAATTCATGAAAGCTGCCAATGTGTAAATATGTTAATTTCATAATTGAAAAATGCTCTCTAAGAAAGTAACAAATTGTTGGATTCATAGAAAATAACCATGGATAACATGAGATTGTATTTACCAATTTGATTTTTCTTCACGTCACGTAAGTCCTAAATTAAATTGACTGGGTTTTGTTTAATTTATATTTTTTACTTTCCTACCTATACCAGACAAGGAAAGTATTGCGATTGGGTCAAAGTTCCGATATGCAGTTTTTGACAGATAATTTAGTTGGAGAATTTGTTAAGTATGGTGGGATGGAGTTAGTGAGGTCACTCCAAATACTTTTTCAAAAAGCCTGGGACAGTAAAAGGATTCCTACAGAATGGGAATATAATGTCATAATTCCCATACATAAAAAAGGCACCCAGGCTGAATGCTCCAACTACAGACCCATATGCCCGTCTCCAGTGGTGTACAAGTTATATACATCCATCCTGCACAATAGACTGAGACCTCTAGTGGAACCGTTTGTAGGAGAAGAGCAAGCTGGTTTCAGACCAGGGAGTCAGACACAGGATCATATATTCACCCTCAGGAATATAATGCAAAAATCATGGGATAATGATAAAAATCTGTAATTAGCCTTCCTCGACCTTCAGGCAGCATTTGATTCAGTCCCAAGAAACAAAATATGGGAAACACAAAGAGTAAAAAATGTTCCTAGAAGCCTGGTTGAGGCCATTAAATCCATATACCAAAATCCAAAAGGAATAGTCAGACTGAACGGACAGGAATATGGCTATTTTAGCATAGCTAGGGGGGTCAAACAAGGTGATAGTTTAAGCCCGTTGTTATTTATATTATATATGGATGAAATTGCTGCAATATGCAAAAGGCGAACAGAAAGGACGTTTCTGGGGCGAAGGAACCTGCTTCCGGTTGTATTTCAGGTTCTTCTATATGCGGACGATATTGTCCTGATTGCTGATTCTGTGGAGAAATTACAGCAGGCAGTTGAGTAATTACCTCTATTATGAATGCTCCAAAAAGATTAGCCGGACCGATAAACAGGAAACGGTACAACGCTCATCAATTGGACTATACTTTGGCTTCATGGAACGTTTTAACTCTACATAGACCCGGAGCTACACAAACGCTCCTAAACATTTTAAACACATATTCAATAGACATAGCGGCCATCCAAGAGATCAGGTGGACTGGACAAGGCAGTCTTAAGAAAGGCCAGCACACCATTTATTATAGTTGTCATGACCGATTACACTCGTTTGAGACTGGATTCATTGTGGGAAGAAGAGTGACCCAGCAAGTTATAGATTTCAAGCCTATCAGCCCCAGACTCTGTGTCTTGCGAATCAAGGGAAAGTTTCACAATGTCAGCATGTACACGCGCCTACAGAAGTCTCTGAAGATGAAATGAAAGACGAATTCTATGAGGAACTGGAGAAGTGCTTTGATGACTGCCCTGCTCATGATATGAAAATAGTGATTGGAGACTACAATGCTCAAATCGGAAAAGAGAAAGCATTTAGGCCTACTATAGGAAGAAATAGCCTTCATGAGAACTCTAACGACAATGGGAGAATAAGAGTCTACAGGAGATAAAAGAGGCCTTCATTTCCAAAAATACTAGAGAATTCTTCCAGGTTATTAATAAAGGAAGAAAATCCTTTATCGCCCGTACCACAGGATGCAGAGCAAATGATGGCTCCTTAGTAACTGACAAACAAGGCATTTCAGACAGATGGGCTGAATACTTTTCGACTCTTCTTAACAGAAATGGCACAAATGTCTCAGAGGCAAATGATCCAGTTACAGGTAGAGCAGATGTAGAACCGCCAGACGAGGAAGAAATCAATGAAGCTATAGAAGGAGTAAAAAGCAATAGAGCCCCAGGCATTGATAACATCCCTGCAGAGTTCTATTAACATGGTAGTCAAGAGCTTATAAAACTCCTCCAGGAAATGTTTCATGCCGTTTGGGTTGATGAAGACCTTTCAAGTGATTGGAAAAAATCCATTATATACCCAGTGTACAAAAAAGGGGACATCTATCAATGTAATAATTACAGGGGCATATGCCTTCTACCCACCGCCTATAAAATTTTTTCAATTATTCTTTATAGAAGAATCATTTCTTATGCAGAGGCTGAAATCGGAAAATACCAGGCCGGATTCATTAAGGGTAAATTAACCATCGATCAAATATTCACCTTGCGAATATTTGAATATCCTTCTGGAGAAAACCAAAGAATATCAAATTGGTACACATCACATCTTCATTGATTTCAAACAAGCATATGATTCCATAAATCGTGAGGAAGCATACAAAGCAATGGTAGAAATGAATGTACCTAAAAAACTTATAAGGCTTGTTAGAATAACGATGGAGGGTAATGAGTGTTTCGTACGAGTACAAGGTGACTTGTCAAAGGGGTTTAGAACATCGACAGGTGTAAGGCAGGGAGATGCTCTGGCATGTCTGGTATTCAACTTTATCCTTGAAAAAGTCATTAGGGATTCTGGTATCCAGACTACAGGAACCCTCCTAAATCGAATGACCCAAATACTTGGATATGCGGACGACATTGATATAATGGGAAGATCATTTGCAGCAGTACAGGAAGCTTTTACAAGTGTGGAAGAGTCGGCAGCCAAAATCGGTCTTATTATCCACGCGTCCAAAACAAAATATATGTCCACCCTATCCTCACATCTAACAAGGAAAAACCAAGCATGGCTGGAAGAGCGTGGAATCGAGAATGTTGACGAAATTGTACATCTTGGTTCATTGATAAATGCTCGAAATAACATTCATTGTGAGATAGACAGGAGGATCGCAGTGGCTAATCGGTGCTATTTCTCCCTCCAGAGACATCTTCGCAGTAGAATGTTGTCAAGACAGGTGAAAATAAGAATATATAAAACTCTTATTAGACCAGTGCTCACATATGGCTGTGAGAGGTGGACCTTAACTAAAGCAGTTGAGAAATCCCTGCTCAGATTTGAAAGGAGGATTATACGATGCATATTTGGAGAGGTCCAGGAAACACCACAGAATTGGAGGAGGAGAACGAATTTGGAAATAAAGACATTGTTTAATGATCTGGATGTGAGCCAATTCATCGTACAGGCGAGACTATGCTGGGCGGGACATGTCACGCGGATGGATATGAATGCACCCCCACAGAGAGCTATGAATGAGCCTGTGTTTGGAAACAGACGAGTGGGAAGACCATGTTTGCGCTGGCAAGACTGTGTGGCTGCTGATGCATGTAGACTACTTGGTATCAGAAATTAGAAGGCTGCAGCAACTAACTGGGAGAACTGGAGATCCATGCTGGAGCAGGCAGGCCAAGACTCAAATAATTGGGATGTAGTGCCATTTAATAATAATAATATGTCGAGACACAAATGTTAAAAATATATAGTTTATAACTAATTAATTTATAACTATATATATGTAATTTATAACTATTTAATTTATCATACATGATTGAAAATTGAAAGATTAGAATAAAAAAAAGTCTGTTCAGTCTTTTAAAAAACAAACATAATGTTCAAGAGGAAGCATTTCTTAAACATGATTAGGATTTTTTTTTTGAAAACTGACCGTAAGTAATTTTTTTTATCGCCTATTTACTAATAATTTAAGCACTTTCTTTTCATAAAGTAAGAGAATGTAAAAGTTGATACTTGACGCTTTTATCTATTATGAAATAAACTGAGCTACGGGCTATTCTTATTTTAATGTAAGGCAATTTAGTTTTTTTATTGCCACAAATAGAACAATAATTATCCATAATAATCTAACTGTGAGGCGGGATGGCCGAGTAGTTCAATCAATGAATGATTGCAGAAGGAAATGGCAGGGACACAATTTTTGACTTTGGTAGATTGTTTGACTAGTAAAGAAATAAAAATACTAAAAGTCCCAACTCCTAGATGGTAAGCCAGGTGAGGGAGAGGGGGGGGGAGGGAGGGAAGGAGAGGAGGCCCCTAGAAGGTCACTTTTTTGGGTTTTCACTTATATCAGGAAAACTATCCATCGTATCAACAAAGACGTTCTATACAAAATTAAAGCTGATAAAATTTGTAATACGATTGATTCTATACATTTTTTCGCTACCTCACTTAGCGAGATATCTATCTTCAACTATGGCGAATTTTGAAGAAAATAAATTTAAGTCTCTGCCACTTCTTTCTATTGCCCCCTTTTCGGGCATTCATTGATTGGACCTGAGGGGACTAAAGCTGTGTAAAACACACTTTTCCCGGCAACCTTATAAACTCAAGTTTACATGATAAAATAATTATGAGTTCGCGTTCTGGTGCCAGGAGAGTTTTAATACATCCCCGCCTTCCATCAAGGAAAAGCTTCGTATAGTCTCAATGTCGAAGGGGTAGACCCAAATAAAAAAACTGAGACGTTTCCGGTTTGCACATGCTCTTATAATACTCTGGAAGCCCGTGGTAAAACAGGTGTCATATTTCATACTAAGCTTTGTCCTTATAAATTGATCATATCAACAGGCCTGATGAGAAAAAATTCTTCTGTATAGTTTAGAAGTTTAATCATTAAATTATAATTTCTCAAGCTTTTGAATGGTTGAAGATAAGATCGTAAAATAATATATATTCTTACAGAAAATTTAATATTAAACAACTTTCTTACTCATGACTTTTTCATATAATGAAAAGATAAAGAGTTGGCGAGTCAAATAATGAAAAAATTGCGATGCCCAAAATTTTTTTTTTGAAGTTAGTGAATTACGAGGGCGAATATCTCGGAAACTATAGAATATAGCGAATAAACTAATACAACCATTTCTACTGCAAATTTGTCAGCTTTAATTTCATATATCGCACTATTATCATAGTTTTACTGATGTAAGCGAAAAACCGATAAAAGTAAACTTTTTTAATCGTAAATTTTTCGACTTGGAATCTAAGAGTATGGGGTAACTGACTTTTATTTCAGGCCTTGAGACTATAAATAATATAAATTGAAAGTGTTGGTAGCTTTATATATCAATAAACTCTCTCTATATATACGTGTGCAACCTATATAAGGTCTCTTCTATCTTCACATGACCGCCATTTTGTATTCTAGCGGCTTAATATCTTCTCCAGGATGAACAGGTGCTTGCCAGCCAATGAATTGCTACGACCGTTATCACATGCTTTAAATAAAAATATAATTCAAATAATATAATGGTATCTATCGTTCCCCAATATTAAACATACAATTAAAAATCAGAAGGCAACTCAACCGTTCCTGAACTATCTGTAAAATCGAAGTTTTCAACAATACTACTAATCGACAATTGGATATCTCTAAACTAAATTTCTGGTAGCTGCAGAGTTCAAAACTGAATATAAAAAAAAACTCCCATTGGCATCATACATACCTGCATTGGACTTCTTAAGACTTTTGCCGTCTCGGCCGAGGTCATGATTTTTCAATTGTATTTTTAGTATTAATAATTAATGTGTGAAATTCATAATGATTTATAATTTAATTTATTTATCTCTCGATCAATTAATGGGAGAACGTAAAAAATTATTAAAATGCGATTTTTACGAAGTTGGAATAGCGATGTGGTTTTATAGTTTATAACAATATTCAAGGACTTATAATAATCAAGACTGCAGCTTACATTAAAATTGCTTTGAATTACAATATTGTATATAACGGTTATAACGAGGTATCGGCTTTAACGACGAAAAACCCATGTTCGATGATTCACATGGCTTTATGTGATTTTGAATGGATATAAGGATTGGATTTACTGACTCGATTTCTTAGAGTTTTTAGAAAAAATGAACGTATATAGCGACATTTGAACTCCTAAAAACCTTCGTGTTTATATCTCACTTATCGAGGAAATATTTTATTTCATTCGTTCTCAATGTAAGAATCACATTTATAGGGCCAATTCCATTCCCATTTTTAGTGTTAAATTCATATTTCTGTTTAGTAGTTTAATAAGAATAACAAAGAGAAAAAAGTTCTAGATAGAAGAAAAAGTCTATACATGTTGCCGACTGGAGACTGAAGAGTCTAATATAAATAATATCTTGGCTCAAGAATTCATCATAAATCTTACGAATCGAATCGAGGACATGCTGAATCAGTTATATCCAAAAAACAATTTTATTTTAAGTAAGGACTTATAGCTAGTAACCATTTTAAATTCTAGATAAACCTCATCTGAACACACAACTTTGTTCAGTCAGTTGAAAATTTGCTTTCTATACAAAAATTTAAATTAACAAGGCAAAAATTTGACAGTCCATTTAACAGAAACTGACAGCTGAAATTTTGATATGAAGTAAAGAATATGTCCCTAAAAGAATATACCTTGACCGATGACATCAAAGTCATCACATTAGGGCAGTCTGATAGTAGTTGGTTGAAAAAAAAATTTAAATAGTCGGTTTCTCTTTGGTTTTTAAGGATAGTGATCTGAATTTGACGTTCCCGAATGAAATGTTTCATTGCGTATCGAGACATGCAAAAATATCAAAATACCCGAACTTTTTTGGACAGGACTTCAAAATTGTGCATTATATCGTATTTATTATTATATACAATGTAAAAGAATTTTAAATTTACAATCAATTTTATGCACAGCTTTTTGATGTAGGGGTGAGCAGTAAGAGAATATTGACTGTTTGCATTTTTCACAAGAAAAATCTCTTTTTGTTGGTTTTCCCCCGAAATTCATAATCTATACATCTATCGAAGAAATTCAATATAATCAATTTGAAAGAGCATCAAGTTTCATATGTACCTCATACAGACACGTTAATATGTAAGAAGATTAAACGGCTGTTAAAGCCCAGAGAATCAAAGTCGTATTTCCCTTGTAGTATATGTCGTTCACTAACTAAGTGCTGCTTTTTATCTTTTCAATGCTTTATTTTCGGCTAATTTAACTATTTTATAACATAACTAGGATGTATAAACATATTACATAGCTTTTATATATTCTGTTGATATGCATCACAAAATTAAGGGCCAAAATGCGTTTTAAAGTCCGAGTGGTCCAACGACATTTTGCTCATTCGATATTACAACTCTACCAAAACATGAATTCTGTGAAGCTGCCAACGTTCTGCTTTAGTTAACCAACGAATAGATATATATTTACAGATAGTAAATAGTATTGTTATATTTTTCCTTTTTAAAAAGCATTGTTTTAACCCCATTTTGCTTACATTTTATTCATTACCCTTGTTTAATTCCAAGGACCGTTATTGACAGTGACAAGAGGATAGATATAGGTTATTCAACTATATAAACATGCGGATGGTCCGGTCGTCTATAACAATTATACATTATAACAACAAAATTTACCAGGTCCCTTGAGGTCGTTATATTAATCCACTGTGTATTAATTCCAATTTAAACAGAATATTTTGGAATTAAAAAAAATTGTTGACTTTCATTGGACTTTTGACTCCACAAATCACACCTTACTATCGCACAAACTTTTCTCAATAGATATGAGTGGGAAAATAATTTGAGTTATGGGAAACATGTATGATAATGTGTACACACAAATAAAAGAAACCGCTGGAGGATTGTCGCAAAAGTTTAAAATTATCGAAGGTGTGCTACAAGGAGAAACACTTCTAAAAGGAGAGTCCCATGCTATTTAATCTTTTCCTATTTGGCATTGAGGAATACTTTTGCAAGCATAATCTGTCAGGTATACATATAGATGGATGTGTTGACATACTGTTGCTCTTGTTTGCAGATGATATGGCTATTTTTGCTGATTCCTATACCGACCTTGTAAAAACAAATAATACTCTAAATGTATACTGCAGAGACAATAGACTAACTATAAACATTGATAAAACAAACATTTTGAATTTTGCTAGGGGATGCCAAAAGAAATATAATAACCGATGTGCAATATAGAATTTTTGCCATAATATGCAGAGGACAATGTCCCAGATTATCCCACCAATTCTCTATAATTTGATGTAAAAAATATAATTTTCTCATATCTTCTGCAGTGGTTGGCTTAAATATTTGTATGCCATCCCCTAGTAAATTCTTAACCTTAAACTACTATAAATTGGGCATTTAAATAATATATGATGAAGTGTTTCGTTTTCTTTAGTGTTGCACATTTTGCACTCAAGTTGAGGAGTAATTTTCACAATTTTATTATTAACAGAAATCTTGATCATATATTTTCTCGAGAGTCGGATCTGCATTAATAGTTTCGTATATTTGAAATTAGTCGGTACCAACAAATACTGGGAATCTGATCATTATTAAGAAAAGGTTTAAATGTTCACTATAAGATGAGCTCTGCAATGTTATCCTGTCACCATCCTGCAAATGCTGTTTATATTTATTTAATATCCTGATAATATTTGTTCTAATTTTGGCTGAGTTGGTTTCATAAAGTATGTTTTCTTCCCCAATAGTATCTAACAATACTTTTAGCTGAGAACACCAATTATATTTCGAAAGAGCAGGAATTAAGTAACATTTATTTCTTAGCTTTTCGAAAAATATTTTTGGATATCTAAATTCCTCCATTTCCACAAGCTTAACCAACCAATTCAATGAACACTTCGTAATATTGAAACTCTGATATAAATATTTAAGAAATAAATTAGACTAAATATAAAAAAGTAAAGAGAAATTACAATTTAGCAGCTTATAGTCATCCTCAGTAAACTGACTCTGGAGTGATTCAATGTTCTTTGGAACAGAGGAACTAGAAAGAGCATTGCGAGCAGCATATTCTGTCACCCCAGGTACTGTAACAAAAGTGAGAAAAGTATGTAATTACAAACTAATTATATTTAAAGAAGAAGATTGCTAAGTAAACAGTTCTACAAAATAAGTACCATTCCAAGAGTTTTAGTAAAATATTCCAAAATTTATTTTATTTTTATGATATCTTATCTCATATTGTCCGTGCCATTCTCAAAGTACAGTGCCAAAATGTGGTATCTGAAAATATGCCGAACTGTTAAAATTGGGTGAGAAATCATGAGAAAAAGTTGGTGAACATCCCAGGAATAATTGGTTAGCCGCTTTTGAAGAAATTGTAAAATTAATGATATAATGTGGCACTCCGGTGCATCAATTTTAGCAAAATAGTTGTAACATTTTAGGCAAAAAATTAACTTAAATAAATAATATCAGTATTGTATGTTGTTACTTTCACTTACCCATATATTACCTACATATATTTATATTTCATTGTGAGTATTTTTATTTGTTTAAGTACTGGTATACATATACAAATTTTAATTTTTATATCAATGTAATTTATATAATTAAATATTAAATAATACCAACGATAGCATTTATGAAAACCACATATGTATATGTACATAATATTGCCGAAGTCTGTAGTATATTAAGCTCATGTTATGTATGGAAGACTATTCTAATCTTTCGAGCAAGCTCAGGCGCGCTCTTATTTATTCCTTTGGTTTCTTCATTAACGATTCACCATTATGATCTCTTATTTTCCTATAGTTAACTATCAAATTCTTTCATATTTTATATTTAATTATTTTTTATATCAGAGATCAATGCAAAATAATTATTTGTTTCAAATAAAAACATTAAAGATAGTTTAGATGAAAAAATATTGAAAATTAGCCATTTAAGCTCTGTTAGAGAACATCAATGAGAATAAAACCTACATTATATTAAAAACTGCTTAATTTTACACAGATACAATGAAGTTAATCAAAATCGCTACAGAAATTTTTGGGAAAATTGTAAAAATGTATTAAACCAATGATATAAAATGCCACTTCTGGTTAGCCGATGTTGACAAAAAAGTTGCTGTAATATCCCAGGTATACACAAACTTTAAATACGCAATTTCACTTTCATACGACTTTTCTTTTTTGAGCTAGACTGATAACACACACACAGACCATTTTGTGGTACTCAGTTATTTGGACTCAGGGGACCTTAAAAAATGTATTTCTGTTGAAAACTGATATTAAAAAATTTTCACGATCGCAATACTTTCCTTTTACTATATATTTTATATATAGTTAAGTGAAAGTAAAAATGAGATGTAGAGCTACTGTGGAACAGAGCACTTCATCTGATATAAATAAAATGAAAAAATTTTACTTAACTATTTTTATTCTTTTACCAACTTCTTCCCAAAGACTTACAACAGTAATGATGATCATAACTTTTAACAATAATAAATAATGTTATAATAAAGCTTAGTTTTTAGGATGAGAAACAGTCAGGAAAAAATTCAATTTAGTAGTTTTGGGTATTTCTTGGGAACTGAAAATATAAAAAACCAAATCGCATTGTTTAAATAATTACAAATATATTGTTAGAAGACAAACTATTAATATATGGTGTCTACTAACAAAAAGATATTACTAATTAATAACAAATTAAAACTCCTATATGACTACAATAAATATTTACTAAAAACTTAATTTGCACAGCAAAACACAAGGCTACAAAGAAGACAAACCGACATGTAAAATATTTTTCCTATCAATCAAACACAATTGATAGACGGTCATAGACGTTCTCCAACATTTGCCATCCTGAAAAAATCTTATACTTATAATGGACCTTCTCACACTGATGATCATCGAGAACCGTTTCTGCATGGTTTTTGTTACAAAGTTTTAGAATTTGGAGTTATATCTTTTTGTTGGTGGATATGTCATAAAAAGAAACTTACTCGGCTCTGGCCAGAGCTCTGGCGATGACCTGTCCAGTTTTTCCAGGCTGAGCAATCTTTGTTCCCAGTCAGACATAATAAGGTAAACCTGAATAAAAGAGATTTATATTAGATCACTTAATAACTATTAAATAAAAAAAAAAAATATGATCCACAGAAAATCATTCATTATAATATATTTTAAATTTATAAATGGGGTATATGCATATGTCACAGTTTTAGACGATTGATTTCCTTTTAAAACTAAGATATACAAAGTTTAACCTAAATCTATTTGCTAGATTTTTTTTTAGAAGTCCAAACAATTTTTAATCAGCAAAACTGGTATTATAACTTTTATGTTGCGACATCACACCATACCCACAGACCAACTCCAAGTGTTATCTTTCTACGATCATTAAATTATTAATGTTTGTCTTTACTATAGATTCTCATTTAAAGTCACAAATTATTTGCATACAGGCCACTTTAAATTTTCCAAATTTTAGTCATATAATGGGTTGGGAATTTCTGAAAAATCATGAAATGAGGAGAGCTAAAGCTGACAGATTTGTAATCACTAAGTAATAATTATTCTCTTATTCTCAAACATAATTCACATAAGTAATCATAACATTTATGTAAATATTTATACAAGTATCCATTGATTGCATTATTGGATCTTGAATAGATACAGAATGCTTTTAACAGAGATTTTATGCGACACAAACGTAATCAGGTTAACAAGTAAGTAAAAAAGCATAGTACCTTTATTATATTTATTTATAAAATATATTAATTATTCATTTTGTGTCATATTAGTATCAATTTGATAACACAACACAGTAGCAATAGTACGAGTTAGCAACAGCATGGGTGGACAACTAATATTGTACAACAAAGACACCAGCCAGTGTAGCATTTTTATTGAAAGAAAGATGATGATTTATAGATATTTCAGTAGCATGAGTCAAATTAAGTCTTGTTATGGTTCTTATTGTAGTAAGTAGTGCATCATTGCTAAATTATGAGCTTGAAATTTTCAGTTCACTACCCATTGTCATAAACGAATTTACTTTTCAATTTACATCGATTATTATAGTTCTTTTCATTTTTAAAAGTTAAAAACTAGTATTGCTGCTAATTGAAATGTACTATTGTATAGTCTATGTTAACTCATATATTGATAATAATAAAAAAATAATCTATCAAATTCATATACTTTCTTCAATGCATCATGTAGAATGTGTCTTTATTTCTACTTTAGTCTATATTCACAATCAATTTATTTTCAACACTATTAAAAACACTGGTGAAGCATACTAGACGAATCGTAAACCAATCTCTGAAAGAGTGAGAGATGCCATTCCAGCCCCAACTGTTAACCACAATGGTTTTTCTCAGTAAGCCTGATAGTATGACTTTGAAAATTAATAAATTTATTGTTTTTTTTCAGGCTCGAGAAAGTTATTCTTGGGAAAGATTCGGAAAAAGTGTCGATGAAGACCACTAGGAAAGTATTAAGAAGTTCTGTCGTGAAGTAAAGACATTAAGAGGAAAAATAAGTAAGCCAGTGAGAAATGTCAAAGACTCTAGTGTAGCAGCATGGTGGCCGAAGAAGTGAAAATTCTTGAACGGTGGAAGGAGTTCTATCAGGGACATTTCTCACGAGGAGAATCCACTGACCCAGAAGAACATCCGGTAGAAAATAATATTCTGGAAAATCTAGAAGTCCTTGAGGAAGACGATATAGAGTATGTCATCCAAAAAATTGAAATAGGTAAAGCGGCGGGAAGAGATGGCATAGACCCCGAATTAATAAAACATGGAGGACAGGCATTAATTAAATTTCTCCAACAAGGATACTTTGGCGGAAAAAAAGGCCCAAGTGATTTTATCATGGCAATTAGATCAGCTTATAAGACAGCAAAAGGAATGGTAAGGATTCATGATAGAGAGTCCAAGCCTTTTCTCATGGAGAGAGGAGTCAGGGGCAGGAGACAGCCCTCTCGTTCATCACATTTATGGATGAAATCCATAAAATTTGTAAGCATCATACTGCTTGGACGGTCATCGGAAAATGGAACATGAAGAATATTATGGTCCAGAGCCTACTATATATTTCCGGCTTTTCTCCAGAGGTATCTTTCAACGAAAATAACTTTTATTTTTCCGGCATTTCTCCCACAGACCTTATTACCGTTATAATGAAATTCCACTCCAATTCTGTAGGCCCAGATGACATTCCTGAAATCCTCCCAGCTCTCCTTTTCATCTACAATTTCTCCCTACAGAATTCAGTATTCCCAACCTCTTGGAAAAAAGCCATTGTCCTTCCTTTAAACAAAAAGCCTAATCCACCCTTTCCCGAAGATTTCCGCCCAATATCAATTCTTTCAAAATCCCTAGAAAGGTTAGTGCAATCCCAAGTTTCCAACTTCCTTGAACAATCCAACCAACTCTCCAATCTGGCTTTCGTCCTGGCTCTACACAATCTGCTCTGATTAAAATTACCAGTGATATTCAGACTGCAATAGATGACAAAAAACTAACTATACTTATACTTCTTGATTTCTCCAAAGCCTTCGACTTCATTATCCATTACATCCTTTTCAACAAACTAAAATCATTACCCTTCTCCAATAGTTCCACCTCTTGGTTCCAGTCTTTCCTCTCACAATGAACTCAAGCAGTTTCCATACCCAATCAACCACTATCAGCCTACCTTCCATTGTCTTCTGGAGTTGCACAGGGTTCAAGCATGTCTCCTCTTCTTTTCTGCTCCTATAATAATGACCTAAATGATTCAATCATCCATTGTTCCCACCACCTTTATGCTGACGATTCTCAAATCTATTTATCCTTTTCTCCAGCTGAGTTATTGGTAGCATTTGCCAAAATTGAAGAAGATTTAGATCGAATTAGTGCCTGGGCCAACTTAAATGGATTAAGTCTAAATGCTGCTAAAACTCAGGCCATTCTCCTTGGTTCCAAGCCCCTTAGATCTTAGATCCTACACTTACTTTTGTACACTCTACCTAAATAACCAACCCATCACTTTCTATCCCTTTGTTAAAAATTCAGGCTTTTTCATAGATCAAACCCTCTCCTGGAATCACCATATCTCCCATCGTGCAATTTCTACCCTCAAACTATTTCATCACTTCCGCCATCTTCTATCCCAAAATACGTAGACTCCTAGTTTCCTCTCTCATCTCTCCCCACTTTGACTACAGCTGTGTGGTGTACCACATTCTATCTCTTTCCGCCTCTCGGTGGAATTCCGTGATAAGACTAAAAAGACTTATGAATAGCTTCGTAAGATTTGTAATTGGAACCCTGAGACGCTCCTGCGTCTCCCACCACTACACTGAGTTAGGGTGGCTCTTCCCCTACTTAAGAAGACAATATTTCCTAGGCACATTCCTTTATCAAATCATTAACGATCATCGTCTTTCTACTATCTTCTCCAATTTAAGCCCTCAATCCATTCCCTCACCAGAAGATCTTGACCTTCTGACCTAGACATCCCTTCTCATATATCTACCTCATTCCAAAACTCCTTTATAGCCCGCTCTGTCAACTTTTGGAATTCCCTCCGTATCCACATTCAGAAACTTCCTATTCCAATTCCTGTTCCAAAAACATTCAGATACCAGCTAATTATTAACACTATATATGTATTGTGTAGCAATCATATAATCATACAATAATACTTTGTAAGACATAGTACATGCATTTCCTACTTTCGACGTAGACATTTTAATACATCTATTTTTTATTCAATTATAACTAACTTTTAATGAACAAAACTATCTATAAGGGTTGAACAACATAAACATACATTTTGAGAAATGAAGAACGAAAAAGAGATAGAATAAGTTCTTTTCATTAAAGCTTTACTTGTATATATATTCTTCTTTCTTTTGTTTTTTTATGAAATGAACTTATTCTATCTCTTTTTCGTTCTTCATTTCTCAAAACGTATGTTTATGTTGTTCATCCCTTATAGATAGTTTTAAGTGATTTGTTCATAGTTTTAAATGTTTTGTACATATTTTTATCTGTATTGTATATAGCTTGTTCACCTAAGGTTTTCTTTACTTTTTATTTTATTTTATCAATTTTATTTATTGTTTCAAACTTTTAGGCCAGTAGTATTCTTTTCTTTTGTACAATTTTGTTATTCTAAAGGGACTTAGTCCCAGAATAAAGTTTTTTTTTCTATCTATCTATCTATACTGATGACCGTTCTGATTGCGGGCACGAAAGACAAGCTGCAGCAGGCAGTTGTAGAATAGGAGGAAGAACTCCTCCACAAAGAGAGATCCAGGAAAGGTTCTGGAAGCTCGATCCATTGGGAGGAGGGCGAGAGGCCGCCCCTGAATTTCCTATCAGGAGGTATATGCAGCGGATTGGAGAGAAGAGAGGCAAAATTATCCAAGAAATGAGGAATCGAGAGGTAAGGCTGCATTGGATAGAGGCTCCTCGACGCTAATAATGGCATGAAGAGGAAGACAAAGAAAAATAAGTTTTTTTATCAATGATCGAAGAATATTCTAGTTTTCACCTATTAGTATAAGGTTTTTTAAAGTAAAATATGGGATAACATTTAGCTAAGTAAATTTAAAAAAAGTAGAAACAAAAATTAAACTCATGAATAAAAATAGAACTTTTCTCCATAAATGGTGCTAACAAAATAAAATATCTCAGAATATACTTATGTGAAGTTCTACATATAAGGAAGAACAGCTGAAAATGTCGAGCAATAAGTTTAATGAAGTCATATTTCAAACCATACTAGATGAACCACTTCTAAATCGCACAATTACAATAATATTATATTCACCACTATAGTCAAGTGGCTTTGATGAATTTGTAAAAGTGTAATGTGCATCATTTGAAAAGAGACTGCTCTCTTTGCACTATTAGTAATATCAAGGAAAATAATTTAAGTTTTTGCCAGAGATCATCAGCTCATTAAAGCGATTCTAGTAATAGTTTCTACAAGTAATACATCCCATCTTATTGAATTACAGGTTTAAACAAATGATGAAACTTAAACAAATATAGCTGAAATTCTGTTCATCATGACAT